GGGGGAGTTTGTGCGCAGTAGGTTTCTTGTTTTCAAATTTAATTGTGGCTTTGGAAGGTTTGAGAACCGGCGAGGTGACCAAGGTAGTTGACCTAGAGCCTATGAGAGTTGATCGGTACCAATTAGCACGGTTCTATGCAGTATGCGGTATGCATTTTCATGCATGTTCAATCACCCTGGTTAAAAGATTCACTTTGGGTCAGAAGATGCGCTTCGCCAACTTTGCTTTGTTGCCGACCTGGTCGGGCAGTTCCCTTCAATTTTCCCCTCCACCCCTGGCAACCCAGGCATTCGTGTCCCAAGCAGCACCCCGACAGAACCAAGCCTCTCCGGCACTTGTTCTCCTGAAATCTCCTGAACTCTTGGACTTACCGCTCGATGTCCCACCCCGGAGGGACGAAGGAACTCTGCGGCCGGCCTGTGTGTGGCCGGCCTGTGATGTCTCCCACGCAGCGCCTTCTTTTTCTCCGTGGGATATATATCTCTTGGTTTCCACCTGCTAGGAGATACATCTGCGGTGATGCAATGATGATTTGGGATTGGTTCAGCCTTATGGTAATCCTTTGAGTTGGCACGATTCTTCACACGAAGAGTTGGTCAAAACATGCGACGGTTTGACACGTGGAGATGGCACCAGCGCAAACTGAGCTGTTGTTGATCGATTTTACCAGCTAAGAGTTCTTTTCGAAAAAAATATTCTCAAAGGTTGTTCAAGGAACCCTTTGAGGTTGCTTTTGGGCATCATTTGTGGCTTCACTTCCATGCTACTGGCCACCTTGGCGGGCAACTTCAACTCCGTCAGTGGATTCGAAGCCAAGAATGCCTGCTTCCTGCATCAGGCTGGCAACGCTTCACCTGCAGCTTTCAGGGCTTCAGATTGTGTGAAGCCTGAAATTGGTGACCGGTCAGGCCACTGGTCCCCGGTGCCGGTCGACGTGAGTCCGACCCTGTGAGGAGTGCCCCTCCAAGAGAAGCTACCATGCAGAGACCGTGAGTGAGATGGTCTCCAAGTCCGACTATCCTGCGGTCTCTTGGGCAAGCGGAGTTCGTGAGCGAGGCTCCAGCTGTTTTGGACATAGTATGGCAACGAAGTTGTCCGACGTGTTTGGCACTCAAAAAGACCTTCCCTCAGGGGACAAAGCATTTGTAAACAGAGGTCTTTCACCCATTGGTTTGAGGGCGGAGCCCTTTTTGAGGTGTTCATCAAGAGGGCGCGCTAGGTGATCCTCTTGTGTTTCTGGAAGCTTTTGTTGAAGTCTCGTTTCTAACTTTACTCCGCCCCTTAGCCGAAAAAACCTCTGACAAATACTGAGGCCAAGCTCTTCTTCAGCTTCACTCTGATTGGTTCCCTAAGTCTTCTCCTCTCCAAATATCCCTGGGAGCTGCGGAACGTCTACCTCGGCGGCACCGTGCGCCGGCGGGTGGTGACGGCTCTTCGAGCGGTGGTGCCCCCGGTGGGCATGCTGAGCCCTGGTTGGAACTGATTGATATCAGTCAGTGACCCTGTTGAACCCCGTGGATGGGGCACTGGGTGAGAAGGGTATTATAGTATGAAACAGGTAGATTCAGGTATATAGATAGAATATGGAATGCTTCCAGCCAAATATTTTCTAGTTGCTGTGGTTCATATTTTATCAAATAACTAGTGGATGGCAGAGAACTCCGACCCCAAAGTTTGGTCAAATCCCCGACCTGGGTCCTATTATACTGGAAAACCATCCTCTGGAATATAATATGCCTACATTGACCCCAGGTCAACCACCCCAACTAACGGGTAAATAGGCCAGTCCCATGGATGATCTTGGTATGCATCATTTTTCATCCAAATCGAAAGCAAAAAGGCTGAAGCCACGCCCCCCAACCGCCCGACCTGTGAAACCCTAGGATCGTGTGTACGATCCCGGTGGCGCCGCGCGTGCGGCGGACTGACCTGGCCACCCAGCTGGCATGCAACGTGCACAACCTGGGCGCGTGCCTCTACGTGGGTGGCCCCCTGGATTGAGTCCGGACGGGGGGGCAAGAAAGACCGGTGAAAGAAGAAAGACCGGTGTGGTGCAGTAGGGGCTATGAAAAAGGGCGGCTAAAATGAAAAGGGCCAGGAGTTTCGGTCCATGTCTTTTGAGGCAGCAATAGGTAGCATATAATATATATATATATATATATGTCATCTGCTCGTAGAGTGAGATGGTTTGCACGAAGGCACGTATGCGGCCATTGGCTCAAATTAGAGTTCGGTCTTGGATGGACCGCTGCGCGAGGTGCAAGCGGTCACCACCCTCGGGTGGGGACACGTGGTGCCTCGCTTGCAGCGGTTGGGAGGCCCTCGGCGCGGAGCTGGGCTTCCAGTGGTCCCAGCCCGCGCTCCGCGCCGTGGCCACCGACCTGGTGGTCTCGGCGGTGAGGCAGGTGCGGGCCTTGCGTGTGACCCGGCTCGCGCCGCCAGTCACCGAGGCTGCGCGGCCTCCCGCCTTGAGGCCGGCGGCAGCTGAGCCGCGGGAGGCTGGGGACCACCCCGAGACCTCCGACAGGAGGGAGCCCCTCCCGCGCTCCCCTAAGCCAGGGGGAAAGACCTCCCTAGAGGGCGAAAAGCCCTGGGGGGACACGCCCGTACCTGCAGGCCCGGAGGCCGAGCAGGGGGGCTCCGAGGAATCGGAGGAGTCTGAAAGCGACTCGGTGGCCACCACTGTTGTGCCAGAGGCAGCCGGAGGACCGCCAGGGGTCTCTTCCAAGGCTCGCCCTGAGCCCCGGCCTTCGCGTGAGGTTGAGGAGGCCGTGAAGGAGGAGCCGACTGCAGTTCGACACGAAGGGAACCAGGCTGACGCTGTCGAGCCAGGTTCACCGGATCGAAGGTCCACTGACCGCGGGCATCACCGTTCGCGAAGAGGAGACACTCGGCCGAAGAAGCGAAAAAGGAAGCATTCGCACCGGGCCGGCCGGAAACACAAGCGCTTGGGTCGTGCCGACGCGAACCCATTCGTCAGGCTTCACAGGAGCTTGGATCGGTCGTACTTCGACTTTGATCCTCAGGCGCCCCGGGAGTCGGTGGCTGGCTTGCCGCCGAGGCCGCGCCAATGACTTCAGGGGTAGAGGCAGAAATGCCGGTCGAGGCGGAAGGAGACAGCCCATTTGGGCGCTACGATGTAAGAGATACAGTACGCTGGAGCCTGCTCGCGCCTCAGCCTGGAAACATTTTGATTACCGAGGTCCCAGGAGAGGTGTTTGGCCAAGAAGGGGTGGAAGCTATTTTTGTGGTGATCGATCGCATTTTGCAACCGGATGGATCACTGTTGGTCCCGGTGAGGGTGGTTGGAGCAAGTCGAGACGACGCACTTCCAGCCCTCTCTTCGTTGTTCAATCGCTTGCACGAGGGCGCGGCTTTTCATGTGCGCCATTTGGAGTTGTGGGACGGAGCGACTTTTCCAGGTTCCCGCCTGTCGTCAGGTGGGCGCCGATTGCTGAAGCAAGTACTCACTGGCAAGGACGACGAGCCGCCCG